TGACAGATCACGTGGAATCTGAGCACTGGTGTGTTGGAGCCCGTGGGAAAGACTATCAGTGTGAAGTGCAGGATTGTAATCTTTTGCCAATTCCAGTTAGAACACTAAACCAAAACACAACTAATGACAAGTTCATTACTTCACATTCGAGGTACATATGGCAAATAATTTCATGTGGTTTTGCTAAATGCCTTTTACCTTCAGCAGAAAGTTCTTGGCAAAACAAAAGGACAAACCGTGTATCCTGTACTCACTTTCTACAACTCCAATAAAAATACAGTCAGTGCTGCCCACTGGGTGGCAATTTGTCATTCTTGTTCTAAACCCTATTTAAAGGTCGCACAGAGCTTTGTAATCCTGGAACACGTGCAGGAGGCTGTGCTGGAAACAAAGGGGGCTGGCAAGCGAATCAAAGGACTGAGTCACACCAGGGCAATCTAGAGACAAAGTTCGTATGCACACAGAGGACAGCTCAGGACACGGGGAGGGAAAGGGGAGGGACTTTGGACTTTTAATTTTGATGCAACTAAAAGTCATCGAGCTGCTCCCCCGAAAACAAGAAAAAAATGCAGTAATCACTAATGGTCACTTATGTTTACAAAGCTGTAGCCGCTCATATAAAAGCAGACTTTTTTAATCCCACTTGGTGCCCCATGAACAATACAGATAGCGCTCCGGTTTCATTCAGGCTTTTCTCTGCCTACACTGCTTACGATGTCTGCCTCTGGGTCTTTGCAATCACCACTTCCCACTTCAATGAAGCTAAATAGCAATAACGCTAGTGACTCCCACAGGCTCCCCTGATACCCGAGACCCAGGCTCCAGCTTTTATCTGATGGAGACAACAGTCTCAATGCATATGTCATTTGGAAAAAAGGATTTAAATCAGGTTTTCTGAAAACTAACTCGACATCACGAAAGGCCTTCCTCCCATCTCTTCCCCGAATGTGTTGATGTACAATATCAATACAGTTTGTTCTCTGTAGTATTTATCTGGTCTTTCCTTTACATTCCTTTCTTCAAGAAACACAACTGCATGTGTACCATGGCTTAGGCCCTGCCCTGAAAACTGGGGGCATAAAAAGAGAATAATTAATTCTGACATCCAAACAGTCCTCAGGGGAAGACTAGCGTTGACTAATTACAGTGTTAAGTCAGAGGCCTTGAGGGATAATCCCTGGCCCTATGAAACTGGAGGAAGAAGCTGGTTTTAAGCAGATAAATGTGTATTTGGACCAGAGGAGAGGGATGTTTCAGGAGAGATTTAAAAGGTTCCTAAAGGATCTGAGTCATAAAGGATAACGAAAGCCTTCCCAGGTGAGCAAACTGTGGAAGGTCTGGCAGAGACAAGAGGCATCAGACAACAGAACACATGGGAGGGGAGACAGGATCTCAGATGGTGGGAGAAGGTGAGCATGATGGTCATGGGAATAGAAAGAGGACAGGACAGAAAAAAAACCCCACACAGACAACACTTAACCAAGTTCAAGTGCAGTTAAATATAAACACAGATGTGTTCTGCTTTGTTGCTTAAAAAAGAAAAAGGAAAAAAGAAACTTTTGTTTGAAATGTTTCCCTACTAGGAGGTATTTAGAGAGCCATCTAAGAGGGAGAGGGAGCTATGTGGATAATTAGCTAAATGGGACGCGTACTCAGCCTCAGAGACTCTTACTCACATACAGAAGTTAAAATGAAAGTCAAGTCTGTGGTTAAGAAGGAATTCTCCCCCTGGGCCATCCTGGCAAGAACCTTGATGGTTTTTCTAGTGGTGGCTGCTCCCTTCTTCTTAATTTACCAGAAACACTTGGTAGGAAACATCCATGTCTCCATGTAACACCCAAAGAAATCCAATGTACAACATGATGCAATTCTCTGCTTTTCTTCCTCAATAATTACTCATTATTCATTATTTTTCTTGGAAAGAAACAGACAACCTCTTAGCTTGGCAGACAGCACCAATTTGCCATTGTGTAAGAGAATCATTTTGAGACTTCAGGTTCCGAGTTCCTAGGCATAAACTCAGATGTGCTCTGGAGGCTGGGAATAGATGGTCTTCGTTACTTAACAATTTGTTTCTGATTTGGGGCTTCTGGTTTGGGGGTCAGTATGGCCCTATTTCCTCACACGGCCTGTGATTACATCCCTCTGTTTCTTTATCCAGTATGGAGTTCTGAATAGATCATTAGTTTTTTAGTGGCAGCTACCATCATACTTACTATCTGGTACAGTCAAGTAAGCCAGGTATACTAAGTGGTACAGGTAATGAATGAAGTTACAGGGGAAAGCTGTATGTTTCCTCATACTCTGTTTCAGATACACCTTTCCTTTCTCAGCTTCTCCACACGGTCTCACATTGACATGGCATATTTGTTGGGTGTGCTTTTATATGCATGTGGTTCACCTTCTGTAATTTTTTTCTTCCCCTTTTCACTACGAATCACCAGCACAGTGAACAGCCGGCACATACTGTTTGCACTCAATACAAACACACAGCCGGCATATACTGTTTGCACTCAATACAAACATTTGTTGAATGAACTGATCAAAAACATTTATTTTAGTCACTTAATTTTGGCTTCCATACTCTGACTTTTAAAAATGTCCTTTCTGGCTTGGCGCCTGTGGCTCAAGCGGCTACGGCGCCAGCCACATACACCTAAGCTGGCAGGTTCGAATCCCCAGCCCAGGCCCGCCAAACAACAATGATGACTGCAACCAAAAAAATAGCCGGGCGTTGTGGCGGGAGCCTGTGGTCTCAGCTACTTGGGAGGCTGAGGCAGGAGACTCGCTTGAGCCCGGGAGTTGGAGGTTGCCGTGAACTGTGATGCCACGGCACTCTACCCAGGGGGACAGCTTGAGGCTCTACCTCAAAAAAAAAAAAAAAAAAAATGTCCTTTCTGAGAACATCTTATTCATACTTTCAGGTTCTAATACACGCATTTTGTCATCATGATCTCAATTTTGATGAGTCGTATTTCTGATTTTTGCCTCCTGGTAGTTCTTCCACAGCCCATGTGTCATGATCGTGTCTAGTGAACACTTCCACTCAGATTTCTTTCCACTCCCAATTCAGTAGAGCTTGATTTTCCTCTCAGCCTAGTGACTTTCTCCTTTTCTGTTAATTCTTTACAACCAAATCAGTTTGACGTCTCTCTTGGAGGTAACTGTGAAATCTCATTGTGTGCATTAACTGCCGTGGAATATACAATCTGCTCAAGAAAACTCTGTATAATTTGTTGAAAAATCCTTCCAAAGTCATCTCTCTTATAACTGTGATCACACTTGTCCTCTTAAAAGTCCGTGCAGAAATTTGTATTACCTCAAATAATTTCTAACTGTTTCTGTGTACAAAATTTAAAAAAAAAACTGAGTATATTTTATTTCTTCCAATATTAAGATGTTCCTTTACTTCAGAAAGCCTTGGTTGAAGAGTGTAAGTTGGGCAGCTCATTAACCTAAAGCCCACAATATGGTCTCCTTTTATTTCTATGATTTTTGCATGAACATTGCTGAGTTAGTGTTTTGACAAATACCATTTTTTCTCACTACCCAAGGACTTCAACTGCTCTCTAGAGGCCCACTGCTTTCCTAACCAACTTAAAATTTCACTTAGTCATTTGATTCAATGTCATGTGACATCACCCAAACAATCAAACTTTATTTTACTTTCCAGTGTGAGTTTCAGACCACCTTCATTGGATATTTTCACTAACTGGCAATGATGCTATCTTGGCTCAACAAAATCCTCCAACAACTTGTGAAATGTTTGAAACTATAGAACACTCTTTTCTCTAGGTGGTCTAGTGTTATCTGGTATTTGATGGGTCTGCTTAATTGCCTGTTAAGATATTAGTGTAGGTTGCTGCTCAGGAAAAAAATAGGTAAAATAGGCCAGACATGGGCTCACACTTATAATCCTAGCATTCTGAGAGGCCAAGGCAAGTGGATTGCTTGAGCTCAGGAGTTTGAGACCAGCATAAAAAAGAGTGAGGCCTTGTCTCTACTAAAAATAGAAAAACTAGCTGGGCATCCTGGCAGGAGCCTATCATCCCAGCTACTTGGGAGGCTGAGGCAGGAGGATTGCTTGAGCCCAAGAGTTTGAGGTTGTTGTTAGCTCAGGGCACTCTGTCCAAGGCAACAAGACTCTTTCTCTCAAACAATAAATAAATAAATAAGGTAAAATAAAATTAGCAATATGAAAAAATAGGTGTCCCCAGTAATTACTATCCCACAGATTTATTCTAAGGGAATATAATCCAGGATGTTTTGTTCATAATAGCGAAAAAATTACCAATAAAGAAATTGTTCAATAATACAACTGAACAATAGTACATCAATATAATGGAATTCAATTAACCTTTATAAATGGTACTGAGAAAACTATTTATGGATATGAAAAAAAATAAACAGTTTATTAAATTTAAAAAGATGGTAACAAAGTTATGCATGTGAATAATATGGCCCCACTGTTAGGTAAAAATATCTAAACGTATATAAGTGGTTACTGAACATTAAAGTTTAGGACATCAAAAATTAACAGTGGTGGCTCGGCACCTGTGGCTCAACCGGCTAAGGCACCAGACACATACACCTAAGGTGGCAGGTTCGAATCCCCAGCCCAGGCCCGCCAAACAACAATGATGGCTGCAACCAAAAAATAGCCGGGCGTTGTGGTGGGCCCCTGTAGTCCCAGCTACTTGGGAGGCTGAGGCAGGAGACTCGCTTGAGCCCAGGAGTTGGAGGTTGCTGTGAACTATGATGCCAGGCACTCTACCCAGGGGGATAGCTTGAGGCTCCGTCTCAAAAAAAAAAAAAAAAAAAATTAACAGTGGTCATATCTGTGTTGGAATCGTGGCTCATGGAATTTCCTTCCTACGGTTTCTCCTATTTCTTGTTTTCTTTTTTTTTAAACAAGAGTATATTATAGTTCTTAATAAGATCTGTAAGTGTCATCAAAATGTATCTACATCATTTAAATGTTAAGTAACTTGGAGTTCCTGACAGTATTTTCTTTCTTTCTTTTTTAAAATCATTTACTTTCTACCCCACTTCTGATTTGCTCATGCCCACATATACGTTGGGGGATATCTTCTTTAAATTTAACTTACTGATCTCAAATTGTTAGATTTACTCACTTCTCTCCATTAAAATATGATTTTGTTGTAAGCTCCCAATGAAATAAGGTGACTTTCTAAAAAGAAAGAAGCTCTTACCTGAATATCAGTCAATTTGTCCAAGATACGACTTGCGAGCTTAGGACCATTCTCCATGGTAGGAATGTGTAGTGACTATAAAAGAAAGGGAAACTGGGTAATTGGAGGTATTCACGCATATAGTGATAACAGGTAAGACACTGCTTGTTTACTATATTAAGGCAATTCCATTGAAATGAAGTAAGGAATAGCAATATAACCTACTGACTACATGCTACCTCCTTATGCCAAAGACTCTTCTTATCCTGACTTTCAATAAAAAGAAACTAGCCAATGATAGGTTGTTTTTACCTATCTACCAACTCATTTTAGGGCACAACTGCTCTACTTGTCAATCTCCAGGCTGAGCTGAGGAACCAAGGAGAGGTCAAGGGTTACCTAAAATAGTGGGTAAACTTAAAGAACTGGACCTCCTCCAAGACTCTAAGACTCCATGAGAATGAATGACGGCCCTCTACGTCAACCCTCTGGCAAGGAGTAAGAACTTGAATTAATGTAAGCCGTTTTGGAAGCATAAATTAAAGCAAGTCTATTCTTCACAAAATAGGCTTCCACACTTACCTCTGGTCCAGATGAACCTCCAGGGGCCACACACACCACCATATTGGATAGCATGATTAAAATTCATGCCCCTAATCTGTATCTGAATCATGACTATTCATGACTTGCTGGCTTGAAGGCTTTTGATAGTTTGATTTTAGTAGGTAGCCTACTCTCTCAAACATTTTTCCTAGTATGCCTGCCCTTTAGTATGAAAGATAATTAGATGTATCTTTGGCTCTAAATGATTTAGCAAGACCATTTAAAATATGTTAAACTTTATCACCTTCTTATTTCTAGAGATAAAATAATAATTGGGCTTAAAAAAAAAAAAAAAAACCAGACCTAATGACAGCTTCAGTTCATAAAGTGGATCAGTAACATGACCTTGATGCTACCGTAATAAAATACAAAATGGTGGCTTTATAATCAGGGAAAGTAAAGATACCAAACAGAATAATCTATGAAACAATCCATCTGTAGAGGGAATTTTGTTAAAAGCCATCCCTTCAACCCCAACCAATGAAGGGGACACCAATAAAGTTAGATCAGCTGAGGAAAAAGAAGGTAATGTCAAACATCATAAAACCGGTAGAATTTGTATTTACGGTTAACACTGAACAACTTGGGTCTGAACTGCACTGGTCCACTTATACATGGATTTTTCCTCCACCTGTCACCCCTAAAATGGCAAGACCAACCCCTCCTCTTCCTCCTCAGGCTGCTCAACATGAGGAATGATGGAGATGAAGATCCACTTCCACTTAACAAAAAGTGAATATATTTTCTCTTTTCTATGATTTTCTTAATAGCTTATTATATTCATAGTATTTAATACATATAACATGCAAAATACATGTTAATTGACTATGTTATTGGTAAGGCTATTTGTCAACGGTAAACTATTAGCAGTTAAAAGATTTTATAGAGTCAAAAATTACATGTAGATTTTCCCACTGCATGGGAAGTTGGCACCCCTAGCCCCTGTGGCTCAGGGATTGACTGTAATATGATCAATTTAAAGCAATTCGTATTATAATGCTCACATGCCTTTAAGTTATAAAGTTAGAGGCTGATGTCAGTGGTAAGTATTGGAGCTTTGTTATCAAGAGGAAAGCAACAAAATTGACAAAAAAGATTGAAGTGTGGCACACCTAAAGATCAAACTCAATTACTAAGAGAACACTTATTCCAACCAAATCCTTGAATTCCTTTTGTCAGAGTTTAGTAAATGCACCACGTTTGCCAAACAAAAAATTTTCATGAAGTGGTCTACTTACTAATAATAAAAACAGAAATAGTAATAAACGTAGGCATTGACCATTCAAATGCATTTTCCATAACTACCTGCCATTCCTAATCCACGAGCTTGGAAGTACGTTCAGAAACAAGCAACTGAAATTTTTACTCCCTATAGAGCCTTCCTTAGGGAGCTGGTAGTTAGGAAGTGACTAGAAAGGAAGTCTGGAGAGGTGTGGCAGATGTGACACCTGTCCCAGGACACCAGTGGCTTCCTCCATGCTGTGAGCTTACACAAAATCCCTATCAAAATGGTGCTACCAGGTACGTGAACACAGCTTCATCTGGACCAACTGTTCTAGTGAAAATAATGTCGAGTTATAAAAACAAACAAACTAACAAACAAAAACCCTTTCTTCCTGGATCCAACGAGAATTTCATTCGCACGTTTTTTAAAAAAATTAATGAAATCCTAGGCAAATGTTTGGAAATGGCAGGAAGAAATATTTGTCTTACCTCCCCCTTGTGTAGTATATGAGAAACTGGGCAGACGACGCAGGCTGTGCCAGAGCCGAACATCTCCCTCACTCTGTTCTCCTCCAGGGCAGTTGTCAAGTCGTCCATGCTGAGGTATCTCTCTGACACCTTAAATTCACCCTGATTGGGATATTTAAAATATATACGCATATTTTAAAGGAAAAGACATGCATGCAAAACAACTGCAATACTTAATTTTTCTACTTTATATTCAACTCAGATAATGTCATAATCGTCCTTTGAGAGAAAACTAGAAACAGCACCCTATTTCACTGGGTGAACACAAGTTCAAGGTCATGGCATTTACAAATGAGATTATGAGATATAAAAATCACAAGATACCTGTGTATTTTAACACATGCCCACATTTTTTGCCTCTTATTCATTGTGATGATGAAAGTCCCACAAACTAACATCCCAAATGCTGCTTGATACACATTCCACGTTTACAGGGTCTTAAACTTTATTTTATCACAAAGAGGAATAACGGTATTATACAATAACTACAGCTACCATTTATCAAGCACCCATCATTCTGCCAAGTTCTATAATTCCAGGTATCATCATCCCCATTTTACAGATGAGGAAATGAAGGTTCAAGGTAGTTGAGGAACTGAGGGGTATCCCCCAGGCCACAGGGCTAATGACTGAAAATGCATTTGAACCCCTCTGAATCTGGTCCTCTTTCTACTGTGTCTTTTATGCAATTAAACATAGATTGAGTTCAAATATCTGAAACATTCATTATTTTTTAAAATGGAATGCATATTTGGAGTTTATCTGAGAAATTCCATTTTACATGTGTGTATGTGTATATATATTTTTTTCTTTTCTTCCTAAATTTACTGAGGATTGACCAGTGACGATCGGCTTCCTTCTCTTTTAGCATCATATTCAGTTGAGTTTCACTGGGGAATTGGTAGATACTCCCCCACTACTTCTGCTGAATTGTTTCAGTATCTTCTTTGAAAATGGAAAAAAAAAAAATCCTCTTTTTTTAAGCTCCTGTTTAATACTCGTTCTTTACTCTGTCTGCATCTCATGGTTTTACTTTAGTGGTTAAAGTTCAAAGTCTGCCAAACTGTGATTATGTGAATTAAAAGCAACAAATCACAGATGATATTTTTAAAAACAATAGTACACAAAGAGTATTTTTTGTTAATCTCCAAATTCACAACAGATAAAAATGGAAATCAAAGGACTTTTGACAGCCAGACGTGGTGGCTCACACCTGTAATCCTAGTACTTTGGGAGGCTAGGATTTTGTAGAGAATCTCTACAAAAATCGGAAAATTAGCCAGGGATAGTGATGTGGGCCTGTAGTCCCAACTACTAGGGAAGCCAAGGAAAGAGGAACACTTGAGCTGAGGAGTTTGAGGTTGCAGACAGATGTGATGAGGCCACTGCACTCTAGCCCAGGTAGGACAAGGGAGCAAGACTCTGTCTCTAAAAAAAAAAAAAAGACCTTGACAATTTTCAAAATATTATTAATAGAAGAAGCATACATCATGCTTTAAATAGATTTTTAAGAATAGGAAAACATGTCTGCAATAGAAATATGGCTTTTTGAAGTTTCAGTTTCTCTGTCTATAATTGCAATTATGTTGTTCAAAAGTAAATAATTTCCCAAAATCAGCCAAGTTAATTAAAAACAAGTCTGATTTTCTGAGTCTTAGAAAAGGAAGAAAAAAAGAACCAAAAAAAAGCCCCAGACTTCTCTTGTAAATAAACAGAATTGTTTTTACTCTGTTCACCCTTACTTGTCTTTGGACAATTTCCCCTGTCTGGCAAGTAATGGTAACCCCCCACATTGCCTCTTGGCATTTTATGTCTCATGTTTTGAAATAGCTTTTAAACTAAATTGCAGCTAAGGAGTCAAGCAAAAACTTCCTCCAATAATAATTTCATGCTAGCAAATCATTAGTCAGAGAACGCGATTTCACTCGCACCTTGTCATCGAAACTTCTGTACTTGGTTGATTTTTTTTTGCTTTAATAAAACAAAAATTACTGAGCTTCGAAAATATATCTTTCCAACTGAAAACATATTTAGGACAGGGCAAGCTGTTTGAAATGGAACCAACAGTTTGTAAATGTCATGCCCAGTGTGCCAGCCAGCATGTGGCAGTTGGGTCTTGTCTACTTCAGGGCTTTGTGGAATTATTTATAGCACATTTCCTCTGTTTTCAAAGCCTTTTCCAGAGAAACTGTGCTAGTACTCTCCTAGACGATGTGTGTTTCTAAACATTCGTCCTATTAGCACTGATTGACCACAGTATCCTTTCAAGCCTTTTCATGTTCTTTGGAGACCATTTTAATACATGAGTCAAAAGTTCTACCCAAGAACTTTGGCCAGACAACCAACTCGTTCAATATTTGTCTTGAATATATAATTTCCAATACCAAATATTTTAATATGCTTGCCTGTATCACATAGATTTGAAAGACTACTGAAAATAACTTTACGTTTGCTTGAGTGTTTTTCAAAATAAGCATGTCTATAAATTTCAGAGGCCAGGGAGCAGGGGTGGACGGAGAGAGAAGACAGCCAAACCAATCCTATTATGTTAGTAAACATTTATATGTCAGTGAAATTCTTTAATGTCCACGGCAAGCATGGTTACACTGGCAGAAAGACGGGAAAGAAAGAAGTACGTATCATTGCCATTTGGAAACCATACGCATAGACTTGAAAAGTTAAGGACCGGCTGGATGGAAGCAAAGCATGGACTAGATTGGTCGGAGACACCTGGTAGCCTGAGACTGGTGTTAGAGTACTTCTTAAGATATCTTGCTAAACTGGTTTCTTTCTGCCCTCCCTAGAAACAATACTTATTTGATAGCCTTGCCAAGACAGTCCTTCTAGAAGAGTTCTTTTCACTCAAGTTTGGATTTAAAGATTAGATAACATCGGCTGGAACCCCCGCAGGATGCTATTTCAACACTAGGCTGGGCTCCTTTTGATTACTTTTTGTTTCAGGCTGATAAAAGCTGCTGACGTCAAGAGTACCCACCCACTCATACGCCAAGTCCAGAATGCTCTGCCGTGTCACTCCCGGGAGAATGATGCCATCTAGCGGAGGAGTTGCCAGTTCTTCTTCTGTCGATTAGAAATTGGAGTATTTTTAGGCCTTGACTGTATATACCAAGCATACCTTTTATCAACAGTCTTTTTCAAAACCATGTCTCCCAACTTTGCTAGCAACAAACCCAACGTCCCTGCTCTCCATGGTCCAATTCCCCAAATCTCCCACATCAATGCATACTTCACATAGCCCCTTCCCTTAAAAAATTAGAAAAAAGAAAGAAAGCTACTCATCTACTAATATTCATCATCTCCAGTTTACCTTTAACCAGTAAAATAATGAGGTTTTCACTAACAGTAAGAGTCATAAAATAATCTTAAGAGAAACATATTGAAGTGAAAATTTACCTTAGCAGGTAAAAGCTGGCCTGGGATTAAAATAATACAGACAGGATATTACTGAGGAACACAGGTCATTATCAGAACTGAGAATCGCATGGAGGAACCGCCCTCACAGGAAGCACGTGTGCCCCCACAGGAAGCACATGTGCCCCCACAGGCCGCTGCTCCTTCCATACCACCCTTAGTGATTTGCAGATCTGGAAGAGGATAAGCATGGTGTATGGAGATGCTGACTTCACCTCTGAGACTCCAATGTAATGGGCTCGGGGTAAACTCAAGCACATATATGCCTAATAATTTTTTTTAAAAAATCCAAAAAACAAATCTGCAACGCTGAGCACTGGACTATGGGGAGATGACTGCAGTGTCCCTATACACCATGAGGTTGGCACGATGGTCAGTCCCCAGGTACCACGTGGGGTCAGCAGCCACTTAAGCTCTCCTTACAGCCATCCGTGGTACTCAACATCTCCTTCCCCTCTCCACCTCTGGCCCCCAGGAGTCTGAATCCTGTGAGTCCCGACACGGAGGACACGATGTTCCGTACGTAGCAGCTACAGGCTTACCCGCTTCCCTATGGTTACACTAGGTGTGCCCGACAACCATGGTCTGTCAGAAAGACCAAACCCCACGTTTATCCCGGTATCCTCAATCCTCGAAACTCACTCCACATCATGCCCGCCCCAGACTGGTTTGTAATAAATGTGTTTGAATAAAAAAATAAATGAATTAATCCTCTTTGCTAGGATACAGAAGCATTTTTTTTTTTTTTTTTGCATTCTGTGTCTGAAAATCATCTGCTGAAAATTGCTTTCTGGAAAGAAAATTTGTTCTTGGCAATGTTCTTAGGGCTACTTTTTGTCATGTTTAGAAGTGTTGATGATCTCAAAATAAACATGTGTTTTGCAATAGCTAACTAGATACATAAATTTATGGCTCTATGTATGTGTGCGTGCGTGTGTGTGTGGATGCGTACACACAAAACACACCATTCCAGGGCCCTAAAACTGGACCTTTCAAAAAGCTTGCTAAGCTCTAAGACTACATAAAGTTAAATGAAAACAGCAGCCCTTCATGGGCAAATGCTGCTTTGTGAAATATATTTAACATCCAGAACTGTAACCACTAGCCTGAGGTCAAGGAACGGAACATCTGCTTCTCTGGTTGCCAGACAGAGATGATGACATGACAACATTTGGGTGAGAAATATTCATTTTCCTCTGCAACCACAAACATGCTTCGAAGAGCCAGAACTAACTCCAGATTGCCCGACATGACGAAAACAGCCCCTACAACGGCAGCTTGTTTTTGACAGAGAGATCATTTTTAGGAGATGAGGAATTCAGAAGCAATAACATCAGGATTCATCTGTGATTTCCAAAGTCAAGGTCAAGCGCTAATGGAAACCAGGAATGTAGGTTTGCGTAAGTGCCCGCAACACCATCAGCACGATTATTCATTTATTCAAAAAATACCTATCGAACAGATCACTTGAGCTCAGGAATTCAAGACCAGCCTGAGCAAGAGTGAGACCCCATCTCTAAAACTAGCCTGGTGTTGTGGCAGGCGTCTGTAGTCCTAACTACTCTGGAGGCTGAGGTAAGAGAATCACTTAAGCCCAAGAGCTTGAGGTTCCTGTGAGCTGTAAGTTCATGGCATTCTACTAAGGGCAACAAAGTAACACTATCTCAAAAAAAAAAAAAAAAAAAAAACCTATTGACCACTGTTTACTGTATTAAGCTCTATAAATAGAACAGTGAATGAAACTGATAGAACTCCCTGCTTAGTTTTTATAATAACAGGCAGACACAAAGGATGACTGTGTTAATTACAGTAGACCCTGGGTAAGTTGATCACCCAAGGGACTATAACAAACTGGTCAATATACGGAGGTGGTCAACATAGAGAACTTCCATTGAGTACATGTGGTGCATGTCTAGTCTACAAAAATGAGATCAACCTAAGGAGGTGGTCAACTGTGAAGGTTCTACTGTGGTATGTAGACTATGGAAGAGGCAAAAAAGAATGATGAACAAGGCTGGGGAGGAATGGAGGAGGGAGTTTAACCATCTGATTAAGGGCTCGAGGCAAGCCATACTGAGACTGGGATTTGGGAGCAAAGACTCGGAGGATATGAAAGAACAAGGCCTGCAGACATCTGAGGAAGACTGCTCCAGGAGGAGTCAGTGTAAATGCCTGATGTGTCCAAGAAGGCCGGCAGGGCCCAGGTAGACTGAGCATTGACACTCACAGCCAGGGCCCTCCTCCTAAACTCACTGTGAACACAACTGCAAAGACTGGGTCCTATTTTTTCAGAGTAACTCCAGTGCCCAGGACACGATACAATTCTTTGTTCAAATAGTGAATAGCAAGTGTATGTATTAAATGGCTCCACTACAAAGTGAAGAAGGGAATCAGCCACCATGGGTACATTACTAGAATCCAAGTTCCACGCAAGTGCCCCACACAGAACTGTGCTCTGAATACACACTGCTTGATCTACGGTCCTGGGCCAGCCACCTGTCCCACAGGAGCAGAGCCCGTGGGTGCTCTGGGAAAGATGGCATGTGATGACCAAAAAAAGTCTGCTTATGCTTCTTACTAGTAAAGTTTGTGAAAAATTAACACTCTGCTGATTATCAGCTCATCCTTTGTGTTTTCCTAAAGCCACACAGTATAAATTGAAGTTATTACAGAGTTGCTTCCCGGTTGCTTTCTTTTTAGCCTAAAGGTTATTTCTGACATTCTATTTACCTCCTTCGTGTCACTATTCAAACATTTATTCCATTTCCTCTCTCCTTGTGTGTTAGGTGGATGAATATCCTCAAATTGAAAGAGCACATTCAAGGTGAAGTGATCTTAGGCAACCATAATCTGAATGGTAACTCTTAAGGTCTTTTGCAGGAGGCAGAAGATAAATTCATTCATTTCCATTTTGACCTTTAAAAGCCATGGTGGAAATGTTCTGTGATTACTCTTTGGACAAGGGACGATTTTTCACCAAGAGAGTTTCTGGTGTTTCGGGTTAAATCATGTAGTTCTGACTCAGTCTGTGCTTAAATCTTGACATCTCCCATCCATAAAAATAATGATGGTACTGCTTCTAAATGACGTAATTGTTTTTTGTTTGGGGTTGTGTGGGGTTTTTTTGGGGGGGGGGAGTTTGGGATTAGAGGTAGAAATGAACAGATGAAAAGAGTTTCATCAATCTCATAATCTTTCAAGTGCAAAGTTCAATACCAGCTATCCCCTGCCTAGCATGGCTTTTCTTTTTTTATGTCAAACACAATAACTTAGAAATCACAAATATTCCAGTATAAGTTTTATTTTCAAACATTGCTAAGTAAGAAGGAGCAGGATCTGCATCTGGCTTTTCAAATGCCAAGGATTACCAATGGCCAAACCCAGGACAAGGCGCAGTCACCACACCTCCCATTGATTCTACCCTTAGCTGGAATACAAGGCTTGTCTGATTAGTCTCCACAACTAACACACAGGCACATAGCTCTGAATCACCATTTTCCTCATCTTGTAGCCAAATGATATTAGAACAACAGAGGCTACAGAGGCTACTGTAGCTGCTTTAAAATAAACTGTCACATTAAGAAAGTCAATTTATGGGCGGTGCCTGTGGCTCAGTGAGTAGGGTACTAGCCCCATATACCGAGGGTGGCGGGTTTGAACCAGGCCCAGGGCAAACAGCAAAAAAAAAAAA